GACCAACAACAACACTTACTGGACGTCCGGCGCGGAGAACAATTAACGAGATAATGAGAAACTGACGAAACGAGTTGCTTACTTTTAACAGCTTTTTCACAGAAAACTAGTTTTCGCACGTAAGCTCCCTTTTCGTAGACCAGGTCACATATTACTTATATGGAACGAAATAAATCCTCAAAAAATTTTGCCGATAGGTGGCGCAGGGTCAAGCCCGTATATATGATCCGATTAGGTTCACATTTAGTATGTATATTGCTTACATGAAAAGAAATAACTACACAACAAATTTTGCCGTTATGTGGCGCGTGAGCCTATATAATTAAAAAATCGGCATCTATGCTCCGATTTGTTTCATATTCAGAATACTGAATATTCAGAATGTGTAATACACATTGTGTATAACCTACTTAAATTGAAATCTATTGAAACCCCAAATCATGCCTAGCGACATCAATAAGACAGGAGGCTTACCTAAATAATTGGAAATATTTGAAGGAGCTAAAATAATGCTACGATCCAATATGGATGTATCCAAAGGCTTTATAACTGGCACAATAGGATTCATCGCTCAAATTATCTGGCCAAATTTTAGACGAGATCAAATGTATGCAGAAGATATACCATCAATACGTGTAAAATTTGGAAATGAAGGCACACATGAAATACAGCCAAAGTCATCACAGTTTCCGGCAAAGTTTAGTTACGGAACCGCTGAAAAGAGAATGCTGCCAGCCATACTATCACGGGCATCAACAGTACATAAGATGCAAGGCAGTACTATGTACTACACTGTTGTATTCCTAGGAAAAAATTTTAAAATGTTTCAACAAGTTTAATAATTATTTTTGAGCTATAGGACGTATGTTAAATAAAACATAAAATGTTTTTCTGTTTTATTTACTTTTTATTTTTATTTTGGTCGATATTTCGCCTTCAGTCTGAAGGCATCTTCAGGACTAAAAAAGGAAAACAATATTTTTACATCACAATATAAACCAACAAAAACATACATATGCACAAGTGCATTAAAACGACTTACACTATTAGCTTTGTCCGGTCGACTAATCATATGTTAAAATGTAAAATAACAAACAAGCACGAAGAAGATATTAAACATAAACAGGAAAACTAATAATTAAAATACAGTAATTGTAAACAAAAATTTTATACAAACAACAATACATAAAGCGCTGAACAGTAAGACAAAGAAATGTTTGTATGTCATCTCAGCAGAGCAATGTTGTTGTCCGAAGAAATCTTGGCAGCAGACGGACGATGAGTTAAACATTAACACACGATCACTCGACACCTACTGTAGGTTTGTTGTTGTGCGTTAGAACTAAATTCCGATAAACGTGAGCGCAATTGTCGGTGTCCGTTTTATAGTTCATCCTTTTGTGATTAGGGGTGTTCATAATATGTAGCATCTCTAAAAAATAGCGTTTATTATAGATTTTTTCTTCTTGCAAGATTGCTACTTTATCAAAGTCGGGATAGTGTCCCGTATCCTGGCAATGAGATGACAAGGCTGTCTTATTGTCCGCCGAATTATTCCTCAACTTAATGTTTGATTTGTGAGCGGAAATCCTTGTCTTTAATTTCGATTTTGTTGTCCCCACATATACCATATCGCATACGTGGGACGCGTCGCCACTGCATGGTATTCTATAAATTACATCAGACTTCTCATTTATTGGAATTTTATCTTTGGTATTTGAGTAAACTTGTTTCAGCGTATTGTCATAAGTAAACGCTATGCGGAAATTGTCCTTGTCATATATTTTTGAGTATTTAATTCTCTCAGATAATCCTGGTACATATGTTGCCGATTTATACATTTGGTTGTTCCCGTCACTATATGATTTCTTTTTACCGGTCTGGACATAGAAGTCGCGGATAAGCTTATTAATTAAGCATTGTGGAAATTCATTTTTCTGCAGGATATCTTTGAGAGTGGCAATGTTCTTCTTATGATAATTTTCGTCACTTATCGTGAGGACTCTTGTTATAAAATTTTTGGCGGTATTTCGAATTATTTTCTTCTCATGTCTCGAGTTAAAATTAATGAGCCTCCCTGATGCTGTAGGTTTCTTATACCAGTCAACTGTAATTTGTTATTTTTCCTTATTA